CTGAGCCCCCCCCCCCCACTTTTCTCGCATTGCAAGGATTCATTCGACAGGCTCTGAATAGAAGCCTGAGAGGAACAAGTGGTCAGGGCAAGCTGACAGGCAATCCTCCTTGGAAGGAGTAATCAATGCTGGTCAGGGTTCCTTCGGCCAGACGGAAGGAAGCGTTGTGTGGGGAAAACGTTGTAATCTTTTGACTTGCCGGGGGAATAGGAACCGGACTGACGCTCCCCAGAATGGATATGGAGACAGGACCATAAGGACCTGTTAATAGGCTGTTATTAAAAAAAGAAAGAAAGAAAAAAAAAAAAGTAAATTGAAGGACATATATCCACGGTATTAAAAAAAGTAAATTGTGGCATTCTTTCGAATTAGAAAAGGCACCTAATGCTGTCACACGGTTGAGTTGGCTCAACTCAACGGTGCAGGTGGGAAAAGGTCCCAGGTCTTGATCTTTCTACAGCTAACTCTTTCACCAAGTCAGGCAATGCAGCCCATTTTTGATTTGCTGCCCATGTTTGATTTTGGTCTGGACGTACTCTGTTCTTCTTTTTTTTGGGGGGCAACTTCGGTGCACTCAGGAAAACAGTTTGAAAATGAACTTCAGGCAATCCCGACGATTCCCGCGAACACAACACGCCCCCACATGACCCCACCGGGCCTAGGTTATATACATTCACCATTACCGCCCCTTTTGCCTCGAAGTGCATTTTCAAACTCAAAACCTGACTGCGACGTAGTTTTCCTTTCTTTTTTTTTTCAATGCGCAGGGGCCATGCTAATCTTCTCTGTATCGTTCCAATTTCAAGTTTTAACGGATTGGGCACTGGGCCCATAATTGCAATAATTGAAAAAACAAAGAGCACAAAGATGATAAATAAATGAAGGGGTAAGTACGTCCATGTCACCTTTGAGTATCGAATGGGCAAAAAAAACACACGTCGGCAACCACACAGTTCGAGAAGGCGACGGAAGTACCGACGGCTGTGGTGTCAGACCGGGTGTCATATTTACAGGGGTCGGCCGTGGTGTCTGAGGGGAGGGGGGGGAGAAACCCAACTGATACTTTTGGACCAAAATTGCTCATTTGGAGTTGGCGCATGGTTTCTTTGCCAGCACAAGTTTCTTTTGCCTTTAGGGTTTCGAAACATGCCACGTCCGCTGTTATTTCATAAATGAAATAAACGAAGTACAAATACTACAAAATTAGTACAAATGCAAATAATCGAACAAAAGAAATAAAGGCGAAATCACTGAATTGCCCCTAAGACTTTGGGTGTTTCGTCAGTTACCCCCCAAAGGGCCAAAACACAGGTATCACGAAATGCCCCTAAATTATGAATATGGGCCATTATATAGCTGTGGACTGTAGGGCCCGGCGCACATCTTTCACTGTCTGCCATTCTACTGTGCTGGTACTGCCCCACAGCCACATCTGTCCTCTCTCTCTTCTTGCCCCTCTCACCTATAACCACTCTTCCCTCACCTGCCCGATGCTATACGGCAAGCAGTGGGACATGTCAGACATGAAGCACCGCCCTTCTGAAGCAAAATACGAACAGAAACAAAACAGAGAAAAAAGAAAGAAGAATTCACTCACCATCACCCCCTTCCCCTTGATCAGTCCAACTTTTCCCTTTTTCTCTCTCTTGCCCGTTCCACCTATTGCCGCTCATCCCTCATCCGCCCGATGCCATGTGGCAAGCATGTAATGTCGTGAAGCAAACCCCTTCCCAAGCAGAATACAAACTCAGCTAAAACGACAGGCAGGGCGGGGGGGGGAACCATGAACACACTTCTCTCTCTGTGCGTGCCACCATGGGCCCATCTCCAGACTCTCCACTACAACACATTCCAAATGTATATGGCACTTGCAATGGTCCTGATACACTAGAATAGTCGGAGCAGTCGGATTGTATTTGGTCCATGTGACATGTCTAGTGCCAGACGCCTTACGAAGCTCCGAGTCTGGACTCTGAAGTGAAAGGACTCTCTCTCTCTCTCTCTCTGCCTGAACAAAGGGTGGTGGTGTGCCTCTGTTTTGTCGTATGAAAAATAAATCACCACCGGTCCTATGGCGGGCATCTGCAGAAGCTTCATAATACAAAAGTTTCGGGGTCCAATAGACAAGTGGGGTATTTGAAGACGTTTCATCGCTGGGAGGAGGGCATTTCGCTTTACCCCTGTGCTATTGGGTTATCTGCCGAGCCCCCCCAACTTCCAGTGGCATTTCTCATAAATAAAATTAAAATTTACAAATAAAATAAAACGAGACTCTGGATGGGTTTGTATTGGGGCTGTGGACGGCTGAGGCAGAGTTTTGTGTTACGTCTTTTTCTTTGGTCCCCCACCGGGCCACCACCCGCACCGTGGGTGCTAAGCTAGTTTACTATTGCTATCCAACTGGTTGAACACTAACTGTCATGTTGACTCGATATCAAAATACTAAAATAGATCATTCAATATGAAGTCAAACTGTTCATTAAGTGGCAACAACCAGACCTTTCAAGTAGTAAAATCGATAAGGCAGTATTAAGGCTTGAAACAATCAGCTTTCCTAAGGCTTGAAACCGCATGTGTAAGTCTGTAAGATGCTTGATTAGTTCAATTTAGTTGCCATCGGGCAATATTAAACCAAGATCAATAGAATAGGCATTCAAACAAGAGGTAGCCAATCACGCGAGTAGCACTCTTCGGCTCCCTAACCAATAGGGATAATAAGATGCTTGATGAGATTCTCATGGGTTACTAACGTGAATGAAAGCACAGGTTGACAGAGCATCAAATGTGCATCAGTAAATAAGCAAAGCCACGGATTAAGCGGCATTAGTAGCTTCCAATTGGTCTAGTCCATAAAGAAGTATACAAGTCGTGGTGTCACATCCCAGGATTTTTTTCTTTTTTGTTTTAAAAATTTAGACCATCTCTCGTTTTATGCGTGTCAGATTTGTTCAAGGGCTCAGGGCCGTGCCTGTCGTCCCCAGATATACCCTTCTGTGCTCCACCCAGAAAAAAAAAAAAAAAGAAAAAAAAAAAAGCCCACCCAGACAGTTATTTATTTTTGGCTGTCATTCTTGTGCAAGGGCCAAGCATGTCATCCCCAGGCGTACCCTCCTGTGCTGTTTTTTCTGTTTCTTTTTTTTGTGTCATGCCGATTGACCGTGAGAGCATACTCGGTATTACTGACACTGGGACTTTTCGGACTGAGCTGTGGACGTAGTTCCCATCGGATACATTTATGTCCACTACCACATGTGTACCATCCTCGATCTGTTGCCGAAGCAAAATAAATCACGATCAAGTTGGATCAACTGAAAAGGTTTCAAAAGGTCGTAGCCACTGACTGATAGTCTTATACAGTGATGCTACCCTTAGCATCCTAATATACTTCCCGGCGTTCCCGCAGTTACACAGTCTTACACGAATGAGCATCAGGTTGACTGAACGTTAAACGTCAATCATTCGATGAATGAAACTGTTCATTAACTGAGAACGACCACTGTCAATTTGTCAAGTTGTGTCAACCAGAGCTCGAGTATGGCGTAAAGTTCTCCACCAGAGCATGAATGTCAAATTTGAATTGATATAATAATGATTTGTTAATAAATAGGGATCACAGTGATCAGCGATTCAACACAACCTGATTACTGCAGTTGGCAGCTACATCTGGGCCATGACCCGCGGGCAAAACAGTGCCCAAGCAGCCCAACAGAGCAAAGTTGCAAACAAAACCCATTTAATAAATATGCAAAGTCGTCCATTAAGCAGCAAATAATCAGAGCCTTCCAGTGGAGCTTTCAAGTGGCATAACGAACACATTGAGCGTGGTGAAGTGTGTTCCACAAGGCAATTCACTTCCACATTCCTAGTAGTAGTGATTGAAACTTTGACCATAAAAAGTCTTCCCCCAGTGATTGAACTTTTGACTGCAGAAGAAGACTAAGTGTGTTTGTATATAGAAGGGAAATTAGGTAACCGATGATTCTGCGATGAAGAAATACAATTGGATAGACAAAAAGGACAAAAAATATTCTCAGTTCAAAGCTAAGGCACAGCCTTGCACAGCAAAACTCAGTCACACTGAAGTTCTTCCACATAGTACAATGGAGCCACAAGTCGCCCATCATCATGGATTAACACAAAGTCAGAGCCTCACTGGAAGAATAATAGGGATTCATTACTAGGGAAGATGTTAGAACCATTTGTGCCATACCTTCATATCCGCCTGCTGCCCGTTGCATGCCAGAGTCATCGGCATCTGAGCACAGCCAGCTCCTGGACTCCGTCGTGTGCTGGCCCCTTTCCTTGTGCTCTCCATTGTCAGGCTCAAGATCGCTTTCCTTCTGGCCCCCAGTCTGCCACACATTCAAAACGTTCAGGCTGGTGGGCGGTGGAAAGGACTAGTAACATAGTCTAGTGTTCATTTTTTTGGCTTACTTGTTTTCAACGTCTGCCACACATTCAAAACGTTCAGGCTGGTGGGTGGTGGAAAGGACTAGTAACTTAGTCTAGTGTTCATTTTTTTGGCTTACTTGTTTTCAACTGTAACCATCTCACACAGACTCACAGACATCGAGTTGCACCGGTACAGTGCCCACCTTGATGTTGGTGGCGTGTTTCCCAGTCTAAGACGTGACAATTACGATGACAACATGGAGAATTAACGACAAACTTCTGTGAAACGAGGATATATCACAAGGGGAAAACTGGCAGATTACCCCGCCAGAAAACTTTTGGGGTTGTCTAATGCCAAAGTCGTGAGGTCTAGCAACCCAACCCCACAAATAAAAACTGGACATTTCTCACACCCATGCTGAGCCAGTAGGGCATGCCATTCATTATCGGATAAAACCCGCAGGCACTACTGGGCGACATCAGGGTGAAAGTACCCTATTTCTGTTTGGGTTGAACTGTTTGAACAACCCTAAAGAATTTCTAGCTGGATAAATCTACCAGTTGGCCCTATCAAGGGGAGCATTCGTGCTTCTTGTAGATCAGCAGTTACTCACTGTTACTGTAGTCAATTTATCTTTAGATAGATCTGCCAGTGCTACAGACCGATACGGAAACAAAATTATAACATAAAAATACCCTGACCACAAATTGTAACTGTAAATAGCCAAAGCCTTACGTCATGATTATAAAGTCACAAAGACATGACTCATACACCCTTTCTGAAGGTGAAGTATTCATTAGTCAAACATTCAAACATGAGTTTAAACATAGAAAAGTAGTGTGCAAAGCAAACCACTCAAGAGACAAGACGAAGACGAAGAACCGAGCGCAGGTATATTCGAATGGCGTTCAATTATTTTTGCCGGCGATGAGTTAAACGCGAGGTACAAACGTTAAATCCGCTCAAGCGAGGTATATTCGATTGTACCTCACGTTTAACTCATCGTGAGGTACATAAGTTAAATCCGTGTTCAAACGCACATTTGAACGCGAATGCGCGTTCACGGCGTTCAAACGGTTACACAGCCAGCGATGTCAGGCGAGAAGACCCAACACCGTGTTTCTGCCGGTCGCCTGTCCGGCTTCATCAGGGGTCACGCTACCGCTACCCAGCGCAGAAGGTGGACTGATACTGTAACATCTTTGCACAAGTTTGCAGTCTTTAAGTTTGGAGGGACCGACGACTCGGCGACGAGTAACTTGTTTACTATTTGTCCTCATTCTATTATGGAACATATTCACCAAACAGCGCCTTAGAAAGGCCATTCAGGCCAGACTCAGGGAGTCAGGGGTCCCCAACTCTGCAAAATTTTGTCGCCTACCCCCCACCCCCCACATGCAAAAAAAGAACACACACAAAAGTGAGAAAACTAAAAACAGGAACAAACTCGGTAAAGAAAATTGTGTCAGATAACTCTAATCATTTGCAACTAACCTTTGGGAAGTTTTGGCTCGAATTGTTACTAGAGACATAGACTCGTACTTGATTGTGACATGAAAATCAGAAACAGCTGTACTCATGATTTATTTCTAAAAACCACAAGGACAGATAAAATGGAGACTTCACAATTCTTAAGAGATCGTTGGCTGGCCATCGGAGCCATCCCTATGTGTCTGGACGCCGGAAAGATCATTAGAGAATAATAATAGAGACTGGTAAAAATGGGAGAGACGATGGAAAACGGGCTTCATGCGTCTTAAATTAGTCACTATTTCCTCAGAAATGAACGAATCTATCTGCCGTACTCTGAAGAGTCTGAACTGTTCAAATACAACCACTGCCCTGGAGACAACTGCGATAGAAATTATAGAATCACAGGATTACGTGCAGAATTACAGGACTCACAGGATTCACATCAATTCGCTCATTCAGTTGACGAACTTGACATTGAATCATCTGGCGGATCTATGAGCCGAGCAAGTCTGCAGGAGACCTGTGCCAAATTGCCAATCTACAGCTTTTTGTACAACTAGACTAGACAACAACGGCCGCTCACAGGCCCAGCCTGACGACCAGCATATACAACAACAGTACCCTATGCTGCTATGGTCCTAGACCCCAGTTTACTGAAGTGATTCATTTTTGAAAGACCAACAGCCTGAGGTATCATGATTGAACCGAATAATCCCAGGCCCCCAGCTGATTTACCCATCAGATTCCATCAGCGTTCGAAGCGCAAACTCGGGTCTGTTTATGAGTAGGTACTGGGATCACTGATTCACTGCTGACTAAGGACCGTTGGCATAAACTTGACTGGGTTGACCCCATATCCATGGTCGGTTGTTAAGCAAGGAAAATGCAAGAAATTGTGGCAGAAGTTAAAGCCACAGGCCCACAGATAAACATGCTTTGCTTTCCATGGAGCTGATCCACATGTTTTCAGAAGCTTAGGGCGGATCACTGAGGCAGCCCATGCCACATGTGATCGCCTGTCTTCTGCAGACGAGCATATGCACAACGCACATCAACCATGGAATTTTCCGGATACACTTGCGGGGATAATGCCACAAATAAGCGCATTTTGCCCGTAACAGGAAGAAAAAACAGCAACACGGCACAGCCAACAGAAATCGGAACGATACAGAGAGACGCATATAAATTGAGAAATGGTCGAAAACAAAAAAAAAAAGGGGGGGGAAAAGAAAGGTTCATGAGGTTCGCAAAAGACAGGGTTTTCTCGACTCATCTGACATAACAGAGAGCTATATTCTTCGAGGGAGAATGCCACAAATAAGCCAAGCGTTGTGGCATTTTGCCCATAACACACAGGAAAGAAAAACAATAACAATTATAGCACAGCACAGCCTTGAAAGGTTCATGAGGTTCGCAAAAGACAGGGTCCCCTGATATGACAGATAGCCAATGGTGTCAACACTTTGAGGTCTGTTGTCACAACAGAATCGAAACAGATTCAAGGACCTTGAAGACCGGCAGCTGAGACCAATCAATGCTCAAGAAGACGGTCAAACTGCAAGTGATTTGCGAATCGCAGTTCCTGCCGCTAAACTGTGACTGATTCCTTCCAGGTTCCCCCTCCCACGAGTCCACTACCTTTCTCCTCCTGTTGCACTGTAACTCAATCAGCTATTCAGTGCACAATGGAGCTGACGTCCTTCAGGACATCAGTCATATTTGGAATAATACAGAGAAGAATTAGAAGATTAACATGGCCCCTGTGCACGAGGGCCACACAATGGCCCGGATAAAACAGAAAAAAGAAAAGAAAAGACAATGTAGCTGAATCGCTGATGATCACCGCCAACCAATGCCCAAGGACAGCAAATCGATAACCGTTGATAGCAGGGAGTTCACCCAGCTCCTCTGTAGATCAATCTTGAGCACTAATGTCATCAGTCTCCCGCCATGTGGATGACGATCAGATCAGGGATCTACTCCTGCAGTACTCTCACCACCAGGAGCTTTTTTTTTCCTTTTGTTTTTAAACAAACAATTTTCAGCAGTTGTGCTAATTCTTCTTTATTTCATAGGGCCTCTCTCCACTAATCTCGACATTTGCACGAGAGTGAATCTTCCGCTAGAACATGGAAACTTACACCGCCATGATTTTTGTCTTTCGTGCATCTGGAGAGTAGAGAAGCGAGGCCCATAGACAAGATAGCTGGGCAGCATGTTGCAAGAACTCCGTCAACGGACATTCGCAGGGTTGAGAGAAATGTTTCTCCACCGCCGTGTGGTTTGCTGCCAGGGAGTTGATCCTTTTATGGAACTCAAGGGGCTCCATCCGATCAGGGAGCAGCTGTAAGTACACACTGTTCAATTATACCCCACTTCTTTGGCAGCCAGCTACATCATCCTCTGTTTGATGGACGCTCTCATTCCATAAATCAGGGAACGCGCCCACACTGTGTACCACTCAGTACGGACTCCGGAGAAAACCAAAACACATCATGTCGTATATCTCGCTGGTGGCTGCATGGCAATTTGAAATATCTAAACAGTGATCAATAGGTTTCTCGGCCTTTTGGCTAAGATAAAGTGTAGTTACTGTAGTATCTGTTCTGATCAGTTTAACATCTGATCCGTGGTCCATCGGAAAATGAGGTTAGGAGCTACGAACCCTGCCAAACGCACACGCACTGCTACCTTCTTCCCCCGAATACAACGTACCGTCATTATAGCTGTATTTAGACTGAAAGAAGATGCCCCAAATACAGCTATAATGACCGTACGTTGTATTCGGGGGAAGAAGGTAGGGGGTCGGAATCCCCGTTGAAGATATTACTCGTAATGAAGAGGACTGTTTTTGACTGAGGGCCTTGCCGCAGTGCGCCACTCTCCGAACTCCAACGTTTCGAATGCATCTGGACCAGTTGTTGTTTCAATACGTTCAAATGCGGCGAGGCCCTGAATCCATCCGTAGCTGTTACACTGCATCAAGAACATCCTAGTGGGGGTTTAGCCAGCCTCGGAGAGCTTACGTGGAGATCCGACTCTCTTCATTGATTTGATTTGATA